CGAGCAGCTTGTGTGAAAGTATTGATCTGACTCCCCCATTTACAGCATCCTCACCTTTCACTAAGGTATTAACACCCTCAGAAACAGCAGGGCAGCAATTGTGTGCTGTGCTGGATTGCTTCAGTCATAAATCAGTACCGGGATGACTCCAGCCATCCTTGGAGGACAGTTCCCAGCAGAGCTGGAATATACCGTGGCAGCCTCAGGCAGGCCTGCAATAGCCAACATTTGAGTTTCCACCCTGAGGGACTTCAGGCACTGCTCCTGAATGCCAATATCCTCTAACATCCTTTCTTTACAGGCCTTGCAAGGCTTTGATGTTATTGCAGCATGGAGAATAAAGCAGAACGCAATAAAAAAATAATGTACTACAAATATCCTTGAGATGCCTTAGCAAAAATCATAAAAACAAATAAATGTTCAAGGTTGGGAAGGGACAATGGATCGTAATGTCCATGTGCCTTGAAATTGGTCACAAAGACAGGGTCCACATGCCCCAGGGGCGACAGGTTTTCACTCAGACATGCCTACACTTAGGAAAGAACATTTCTGTCAGGCAGCCTCCTTCACCCAGCCTCATCCTTTTCATGAGCTTCTCACGAGCATTTTGTGTTCTTTAACAAACTCTGCTTTTTGTGACTCTGAAGCCACAATGCACGTTTTCTTTGGTCACACATCACAGAGCTGGTATTTCAGAAACCAAAGCCCAAATTGTACCTCTGCATCCCCCCCCAAACACAGCACTACTTCTTGCTCATTTACTACCAACAAGAGTTCACTCGCATGCCACAAGCAGTTCCAGCTCTGATGCTACACAAACCTCTCAAAACAAATTTCCAAGCTTTAACTAAAGCTGCCAGCCCATTTTCAGTCTACTAAGGACCCAATGTCACACCTCCTAATGAAATTTAAAGACTGAATTCAGTAGAAGAACATCAATTTTGTTTCATGAAAAAAAGTGAAGCAGCAAGTCAAAAAAGTGCCTCACGTGGGTATCTAAGTGATGCTTAAGGATAATGCCTGAAAATTGTGTTTCCCTCTACACAAAATTAAGACAACCAAATCCATTTCCTTCATTCTTCTGGAGGAAGTTATTTCTCTAAAATATTTACATTGACTGAAAAAGTAACAACAAATTCAAATTGCTAATCGCTCTGGAGAGGCAATTCCATAATGAATGCTGAGAGCAAAATGTTTGCAGGAACAACTTCTTTGCTCCAGAGGTGAACTCTGCCTAGCTGAGCTGCCTCAGAGCAGGCTGCCAGGAAACCCCAGAGTGATGCAGAAGGATGCTAACTCTGTACAGAGCAAGCCTTGCTTCCTCCAGCACGTGGCTGTGACCTCTAAAACCAAACATCCAGCCTCCATGGCAGATCCCAGACCTCAGGGAGCAGCAGAGCTTCAGCAGCAGAAGTCCGAGGTGACAAGATGATCTAGGTGGCTTTGGACACTTCCCTGAAAATATTCAAAAGCCATCTGGACGCAGCCCTGAGTAACGTGCTCCCTCCTTGAGCAGGGAGGTCAGGCTAGGTGGCCTCCAGTGGTCCTCTCCAACTCTGCCCATCCCATCATACCCAGCAAGAGGCCAAAGTTGAATCTTCCTCAGCATCTCCAAGTGTAATTGGCATGTTGTTTAAAGATATTTGCAATTACTTTTTCTGTAGAGATATTAATCTCTTTCGTATTATTTACCACCATATTAGAAAAATCATTAGTGCCTGTAGACTGTTATGGAAATCAATATTTCATAAATCTGCAGCACAATGCACCCTTTTCACAGACTCAGCTCCAGAGAGCTCCCCGCAACAAGTATTTAATCTCCAATCCCCACAGCTCATAATTCAACATCCACAGCACTGGCAAAACTATTTTTAATCAAAAATTGCTCTGCCTAAATGTTCAGAAAATCATTTTATTGTTAGACAGACAAAAAAAATGGTCTTTCAGCAAAAAATTCTGTTTCTTGGCTCAGAGACAAAACACTGCTAATTCATCACTGTTCATACATGTCTGTAGACAGAAAACTTGCAGTGGGCTCCTGAGCCCTGCAAACCTCACCCAAACGCCAACATTTCTGGAGAATTGCTCAAGGCTTGAGACAGGGTTGGCTTAGCAGGAAAGCTTATATGGAGAACTACCTAGACTACTCAGTAGCTGTTTAATAGGGAATGGTTTTATTCAGTGTGCATTTGGGTAATCTGAATTCTAGTTCTGAATATCGCAAAAGCACAGGAGAGAAGGTAAGTGAAGAAGTCCATTCCAAAAAATGCAAAGAAAAGGGGTAAAGATTCATGAAAGTTATACCATTTATGGTACCAGAAGCAAACCATAACTGGGATTAAGGCTTTAGAGACCTAACCAAGCATCATATGAAACAAAAAGAATTCAACACATCTTCTCTATCAATACAAAACTGAAAAAAACCTGCAAACCTTGACAAATGAGAGCCTCGGGCAGGCAGGTTTTCAGGTTTAAATTTGGTTTAAAATGGCACACACAATCCAAATTGAACTTTGGTATGGCTAAGTTTTGAGACCCTCATTCATCACAAGAAACTGAGAAAATCTCAGTTATCACAACCATCTCAGGCTGGGACAAATCAGCAACACTGTAGGTGGACACACTCAGTGCTCCAAGTTTCAGCTCCACATTGTGATTTTTCCAGAAGCAAAGCTGATTTAAGACATTGCCACATATCCCTTGAAGGCTAAAAAAAAAAAAAAAAAAAAATAAGCTGGAAACTAGAAAGTCACAGTAGAGTAGTGTGAAATACAAGCAGCTGAGGAGCACAAACCTACAGAACAACAAGCAGCCTCTAGGCACAAGGCAAATAAAGACCTCTAATTTCTCTGCCTGTGAAATACCATTGAAAGCCAAGACAGAGCAAGAGGAGCACTGCAGCCCAACCATCACAAGGCAGTGGATCTGAAAGGCTCTTGGAGGACAGAAGTGGATGAGAAGCAGGACTTCAATCTTTTGCAGAAGACACAATACATAAAACACAAAACACAGCAGTTTTGGGTGCTGAGTATAATTCCAGATGTCTGGATAAGTACAAAATCTCCAATATCTAAACCAAAATATGTGGCCTTTCCACCCACCAACACCAGTTTTATGCCACCACAGCTCAAACTCCAACTGAGCTATCTCAGAGAGCAGAAAATCAAACCACTAGTTAAAAACGTAAAAGACAAAGACCATCATTATAAAATGTAACTGCTATTTGTGGAGGGATTCAGAAAACAGCTGTTTAAAATGCAACTGAGAGAAAATTATATTTAAAACAAACAGAATGAGGCATTTGGC